ATTTTTATTCATGGTTTTTTTTAATATAGAGTCTCACTACGTCTCATACGTTCCTTGAATATCCGTGAACCATACCCGTTTATATTACTTTTTAGATTTTCTAAACGCTCTCCTTTCCCGGCGGCATTCTGAGTTAAACCAATCACTGTGATTTTGTTTCCGTCCCGTGAAATCATATCCATTAGTTTTTTGTACGAACTCCCCAAAATGTATTTCTAGCAGAATTGAGTAAAACATCTCTTATTTCATTTTCAATTTTTTCAATTGTATTATTATTAACATTTTGTACATTTTCTGTGTTTTTCATAATAAAAGATAACAATATAGATATACTGTCTATGTCAATATTGTCTCTATATTCATTAACTTGATCATGAGTCCATTCTCCAATATATGTATTATTTTCACCAGATTCTACATTTGTATACACATTTGATTGCTTATGATTACAACAGTTGAGTACTAATTCAAGTGGGCAATGGATATCAGAATACAAATTGCTACAAGGCAGAACATACACCTGTAAAAAAATAATTAGTAATAAATAATTTTAAAAGATTTATTTAATGTCGGGTATACATATAACCAAGTAATTGTATATTTAAAAGGAATGGAAACGCGACTGACTTCAAAGAGTATGATGCATCTCTGTTTCGGTCGATGTGTTAGTTAGATCCCGTACCTCCAACTAGCTAATTACTAGTCTTACATTAGTTATCGAACTTGGCAATTTATTCTGACGACATTTGTCAAACTTTTAGCGGTCATTGGTATAATAAATATACACTAAAAGAGTGACCTACAAATGTATGCCTTCTGAGTGGCAGACTTTCGATTTAGGTAAAAAAGTTTTTCCCCAAGACAATGGTAATTGATGAAGGTAATTGCATTGTTTTGGGAACCCGTACGCAAAAACGCAGTTGCGTACACATCGAAAATTATTTTCTGTATAAAAGGTCCGAAATTTTTAGAAATATACATATTAATAAATGATAGCATAGGCGAGTTGCCTAAACTAAAATACTACTCTAGCTACGCTCCTGGTACTTATTACATAATATACGACACTTCTATTCTTGGTCTTAGGTTTACCTTCTTCATCATTTCCTATCCGACCATTCATTATATACATGTTGTTATTCTTACAAAATTGTATAAGTTTTCTACCATATGTGTTTACACTTAAATCAGCACTGCGTCGTTTCCTTTGAATACCCAATTTGTCTAATATATTTACATTACTAAATTCATAAATATCAATCAAAGTGTGTGCTAAAAAATCACCTGGGTCTACTAAATCATTAAAATCTTGTTAACTCTGTGTTCTACTATTAAAATCACCAAGAAGACAAATATACTTATTTGTTCTTTGCAACTCAAAATTTTCCAATTCTATACCTGAATGTGCATTTTTCAATGTATATATAGAGTTTTCAGGTGGTATGTATATTACTCAGAATATAACACTACTTTTTAAGTCAAATAATTTTTCGTCAATACTATAAACAATTGTGCAAAAGGTCAATCAGTTTGTATTGGGGAAATACAATTTTCTAAATATCTCTTGTAGCCAAATGCAATACCACCAGATGTACGATTTGAAAACTTTTTACGGTTTTTAAAAGGAAAAATAATATTATCCAAACCTACTGTATCTAGATTGTCAAGTTTTGTTTCATAAAAACATAGAATATCATAATTATCAAGTAAAGTAATAAATTAAGGGAACATTAATTTTGATTTAATACCATAAAAATGAGAATGGAAATGGGGAATATGTCAAAGAGACAACAACCCGACCAAATAGCAGATAACAGCCGAAGGCCACCAATGGGTTTTCAAAAAAATCCCGAGAAAATCCCGCACCCGGAGGTGGGCCTCAGCTGGCCCCTAAATAAATATGTGTACTAGTACACATTCATTTAATGTTAATATTTGAATCAATTTATTGTTTACTATTTGACATGATTTTTTATTGTTAATTTAGTGAAAGTCCCTTCCGCTGGAGTAGTCTGGATGAATGAAACTGTCTGTTAATCCTCCTTGATCTACCCAGCGTCTACGACCTCTGCGGGGTTCAATGTGGGATCCATGTGTTTTTCGTTGAGGCTCTCTGTGGGGTGTTTCCTTTGGACGTGCACCTTGCTTTTCATACTTCTCCCTGCCGTCATTTGTTTCCATCTCATCGTCATCGGGTAGGATGAATTCATTCCCATCTATGAATAGCTTATCCCGTTTCAAATAAGCTTTCTTCTTATTTTCTTTAACCTGTTTAAAATATTGCCATAACATTTTACGCTTTCTTTGCCGACGACAGAACAATTTCTCTGTCTTTGTAGTTTTCAAATCGACTAACGATAGGTCTTGTTTTTATCCGACTACCGTCCTTTTAATCACGAAATTCTGTTTCCTTTCCAAACCGATGCGGTCAGTGAAAATCAACTGTTGTGTCCATTTTAAGCTCTGTATACATAAAGTTTTTAAAAATGTTTTCTGTTTCTTCTATAGTTTCGTCATTTTTAAGTGCGATACCAGTAAACACTAAGTTTTCGCGCATCGACCTTGTTTGCAAATCAAGATGCCTTTCATTCAAGTGTTGAGATCACGGCGAAGACCATCTAAATCAATTACGATTTCTCCATTATTAATTTGTATTTCAGAGACAGTACTTTTGAGATATTCCCGTTCCGTTTTACTAACTTCAAAGCTGCCATTTACAAATTCCATTCCCTTTCCAATATCGTCAATCCTTTTTTAACAGTGTCAGCCTTTTTAAACTAAATTGTTTATAGACGACTCAAATTTTGTCAGCTTTTCATCAATTTTGTCAAGTGTTGATAGTTTTTTTTGAACATTTGATCAACTTTCTGCACTAAACTGTCAATTTTATCATTTGTGTCTGGTCCAATGTTCATTGTTGATTGCGAAAGTGGAAGGCTTTGAAGGATCATATTATTACCCGGGCTTTGGGATGCAATATTATAATATCCTTGCATAGGCGACATCTTGTTAAAATCGGGGCTTGGTATGGGCTGCATAGGTTGCATAGGCTGCACATATTGTTGATAAGGTTGATAAGGTTGTTTTTCTTGCACAATATTTGCTGAATTACAAGACGAAGTCATAATGTTTGTTTTGGTCAGTTCAGATTGTGAACCGATATGTTTGTTTACATTCTTACTTGTAGAGTGAGTACTGTTCTTCTGTTCATTACTTTGTATTTTGGTCGGTTTTTCACCACTGATATTTTGATCCTTGGTATCATTCTTCCTTTTCTTTCCTTTTTTCCTTCTTTTTTTGAATTAATTCAGCAACACAGATGTTGACACCATTTTAATTCTCAAAATTGTCTTTTCAATCATAGAAAATTTCACTAAATAAAATTTTTTTTCTCTCCTGATTTCAAAACCCGTCATATTTCATTCAGTACATGTATGATAACCAAATTAAAATCTAATTAATTGCAAGCTAATTAACTTATTTTTACAATCAATTACAAAAAAACATGATACTTTTTCACCAATTATGTAAATAAAAAGGGATTTCCCTCCATGGCTATTTTTAGTCGGGGAAATAACCCCTAGTTTTTTTTATACGAAACTGTTTATAGCACCCTTATCCGCCGGATACCGGATGTATATAAATAGGGTGCAACTAATAATCCACCATTCGTGAATCGATCACTTCGTGGACAATCATTATAGATCTGCCGAATGAATTGAAAGCCTTACTTGTTACCATGAAATTGGATGGAAAAGAGCCGGAATTGACATTCACCGCCAGTTCTGACCAAGTCTCAGTACAGCTCACATGGATCAAGGAACCGGACACGTCCTCCAGGAAACCTAAGCCGGCCCTTAAAAGTAAGAACATGCCACCGTCTACCAGGAGACGCAACGCTAAGCGTTTCGCCCAGTGGATGGACACAAAAACAGCCGTTGTTCCTGCTACTCCACAACATCAAAGCATCAAGGCGACCGTAGATTACAACAGTGGACGGAAGCCAGCGATACCATAGTTGGTAAACAACTCACACCAACTAAATACAGTGGTGAACCAGTGGGAGTTGTCATCAACACGGATATTTTCACCAGTCCGTACAACCCAAAAAAGGCATGTCATCGCCTCATTTACTATACTACAGCTACTGAAAGAGGCAAACGTAGTAGGATTGACTTCGATGAGGGGTTTGACATCGACGACCCTGAACTGCAAACCACACCACCGCATACGTCGCCCTTGAACCTAAAATCTAAAGAGTCTATAGAAGCTGCCATACTGTCAAAACGGCCAAACACTCCGTTCAAGTAACAACACCGCAGTCGGAGCAAAATGAAAGCAAGAAGACAAGCAGATCCAAACCTGTAACAATAGGTACGATAGTCCGCAATATCCTAAAGGATAGCCGGATCCCAAAATCCACATATCATCCACCATTCTGCCTCTGAGGAAGGTCCGTGAAGACCGAAACCGGTCAGGCTATGGATCATCACCAGTCGCTGCTATTTATGTGTTTTGGCATATACTATATATTTTATATGTAATGTTTTTACTTTTTAAAACATTTTCAATTTTTTTATTAGACTCATTCGACTTTTCTGCTCATAATTTGAATTTGATAAAAATTTGATATGATTTCTACTTGAACAATTCTTGTACTTTCCTGTGCCAATTATATTTTTTTATTTTTTTTTGGTGGTAAATAAAATAAAGAAAAAGAATTCTTGCTTATAAATGTTCTTACTAAATGTGTAATTTATCAATTTAAAATCATTGTTTTTTTGTTTTTTTGCATTGATATAGAATATCAGTTCAAATTTCTACGCTTGTTGAATTTCTCGATAAATATAACAATTAAGAGATGTGTTATGATTGCCAATTTTAGAATTTCTTTGCTGTGAGTGTTATATTTTATTGATAGCTTTACTATTACTATGTGAATAGGATATGACATTTTTTCGATTGAATATCACACAACCTCCAACTAAACGAGTCAAAAGAAATTTTCCAAAGTATTTTTTATTTACTATTGAATAAGAAAAGAAATGAAAAAAAAATAATGGACGTCCTTCAGTATAGTCATTTATTATAACAAATGTACACTAATTGTAACCAATCACTGATTTAGATGCATAATTTTCTAATTTAATTCTATATTCAATGAAACGACAGGAATGAATCATGAAAACTACTCAAGATTGTACAAGGCGCACCCATTATCATCACACAAAAGTAACTCTTTTTTCTCGTTGTTGTAGTGCAATGAAAGTGGATTGACTAAACCATCAGTTTTGGATAGTAATGTTCTACTTGATCTTCCTTCATGTTGTATAACTATTAAAGAGCTCGTTCTTATATCAACAACAAATACATTTTGATGATCATCCACAGTGATACCCCTTGGATCGACTAATGATTTCTCCTTATGTACCCATATTTCATCGCCTGTCATGGAGATACAATGTACGGTTTGATCTCTTTTGACATTAAAGTAGATTCTATCTGTTGTGGTACTTAAGTATACCCCACAATCAACATATAATGTTTTAAGTACTTGACCTGCAATATTTGTTATTACAATGCCATGTGTAGTTATAATAAAAAGTTTGTTGTCCTGGTATGATATTCCATAGCAATTGCTTTCTAATCTAAATTCCTTCTCGAAGGAAGTGTTCTTTTTATTAAAAATCTCTACGTAATGATTTCCATATGTAAGAGCAATACGGTCATTGTCTATGACTGTTAAATCAAAAGGTGATCTAGAGCATGGTATGTCACGGATATGTTTACCGTCTTCACTATACTCCACCAGCAATTTCTTTCCGAAATAAATAGCCATTAACAAATTACCATTTGGTAACATGGTACATCCAGTCAGCTGCAGCCCGTTACAGTCTTGTTTCAAATTAAATCTCTTTTTCAACTGGAGACGGACGTTTTTAATTCTTTTCGTGTCGGGTACTCGAAGCTGAATCTGGGCTTGGTCCTCCTTTGCCTCTTTGAACGGTAAACTAGTGGTAGTCTTCCTAACGGATATTTTCCCGAGCTGATCTACTTCGTTCGTTAACGATATGAAAGAAGGATGTAACTGTAGGTAAACTTCATAGTTCTTTACAGACTTGATTCCTTCTTTGATTGATTCTTTCTCTTTGAAGACAGCTTCATTGATCTGGTGCGTTCCTAGGAAAAGCTGAACGTCGGATGCGAATGATTTCAATTGCGATGTTTGTTCCCTCAGACAACTCAAATCTCGTTTTGAATTTTTCATTCGGTTTAGGAGTTTGCATGCTTCGGATTTACAATGTTCATGTTTTGTGTTCAATTCATGAAGTAGTTTTCTTTCTAAGTCGTCTAACTTCTTCAGTATTCGGGCTCGTGTATCATTGAGTGTATTTTTGATGGTTTGCTTCTGACTTTCAAAATTTTCCAAAGCTGACTCACGATCGGTAATGATTTGTTCAATATTTTGTAATGTTCTGGTTAAAGTGTTCTCTAAATCAGCCAGTGCAGTTGAACGTTTTGCATTTTCAGCAGCTTTATCTAAAGGAATGACGTCAGAGCATGTCCTATGACGAGATGGAACACAACCTAAACAAACTGCAACATCATGTGTTTTACAGTACAGTTCGAGTCGCTTGTCATGGTCTTTACAGTTAATGCTGATGGAAATATTTTTTATCTGCCTGAAGTCTCTGATGGGCATTAGCCTGTGATTTCGTGATGTTTTGATAGATTTATGAACCTTCTCACAATCTGCGCATAATCCCTCTTCACAAACTGTACACCATTTTTCTGCGTTTTTATTATTTTCCGCATAACCACAGGGACCGCAAAGAATCTTTTCAGACATGTTGTGATACCTGTTGAAGTATAAAAAATGTTAACAATGTATTTACATATTGTTTATATAAGTATATAATCAGTTATTTTTCTAGTCGAAAGATGATATATCTATATTAACAAGAAATGTTTTAATATGCAACAAGGAAGTATATCATACAAGGACATTCCTCGAGATAATGTGAAATAATCAAATATACATATCTTCAAAAAAACAAATAAGACTTTTCTTTTACAAGAAGCATAGTCTTTGCTATTCAAAATTTAAAATTTTCTTAGTTACCTTTGATATCGTCTTAGAATGGCACTGTGATGTCATTTTGTTATCAGGGGTTACTCCTGTGATGAATTTTACACAAATGTCAACCGGATATCTAAATAGATTTTTTATGTGTAGTGTAGATATGAACGGACGACGACCTTCCCCCAGCTGATTCAAGATTTAATGCGTGTTAGAAGCATCTCCACGCTATTAATCACACCTGTTATGAAAACAGACCCATAATCACTGATGAAGTAATTCCAATTAAGATAACAAATTGACAACCCAATGGAAAAAAACAAAATAAATAAAAAATGACGAAATATTTAATATATATATAACAAAATAAAAGCACAATAAATACAAATATAAACTAGAATTGCCATTGCGAGCAATAGCTGATGTCACCTTGGTCCGCAAATTGCCATTAAACTGCAGCCATTTTGAAATTTTTCAACATTAAATGCACATATATGCATTACACTACATCATTCTATTGTTTTTCAATTTTTCAGAAAGTTTAAAGCATTTTCAAAATATCATTTGTACTGTTTCTATGGCAACGGCGGCCATTTTGAAAATTCCGAAGATGGATTTCATATTTTCACATGCCAAGTAACCTTTCCACAAAGTTTCATTCAATTTGGAAGACTTTCCGATTTTTCACATTCTTTCTGTTTCTATGACAACGGCAGCCATCTTGGAAATGCCAACACTCGATTGCACCTCTGCACATAGTGGTTAACATTATTGCATAGTTCCAATATAATTGGTCCATCCAATTCCGAGAAATAGTCTGGACAAAAAAGTGTGGAGTAATAATAATAATAAGAACTAGATTTGCAATTGCGAGCAATAGCGGATGCCACCCTCGTTCCCCCCATTACCATGGTAACAGTAGCCATTTTTAAAATTCCAAAGTCGAAGTGCAACTCTAGACATGCCAGTTACCATTTATATAAAGTTTCATAAAGTTTGGAACACTTTAATTTTTTTCACATTTTTGCTGTTTCCTTAGCAACGGCAGCTTTCTTGAAAGTGCCAACCCCTAATTGCAAATCTGCACATGGTGGTTAACATTATTGTAAAGTTCCATCAACTTGGGTTCATTCAAATCCGAGATCCAGAGCGGACAAAAAAAAAGTGGAAAAATAATAAAGAGAAAAAGAAACGTAGAATAACAATACATCACCCCAACTCCGTTGAGGGTGACATAACTAGATTTGTAATTGCGAGTAATAACGGATGGCACCCTCGTTCCCCAATTGCCATGGTAATGGCAGCCATTTTAAAAATTTCAAAGTCAAAGTGGGCATCTACACATGCCAATTAACATTATTGTAAAGTTTCATTGAGTTTGGAGCATTTTGAAATTTTGGACATTTTTGATGTTTCCATGGCAACGGCGGCCGTTTTGGGGGAAATTCCAAAGTCAGAGAGACAACTTCACATGGTGATCAACATTATAGCATAGTTCCATCAACTTTGGCCCATTCAATTCCAAGAACTGCTCCGGACAAAAATAGTGGAAGAAAAATATTAATAATAAGAAAAATAAGAAAAAAAAAGAAACGAAGAATAACAATATGTCACCCAACTCCGTTGAGAGTGCCATAATAACTAGATTTGTAATTGCTAGCAATAACGGATGGCACCCTCGTCCCCCATTGCCAGGGTAACGGCAGCCATTTTGAAAATTCCAAAGTCAAAAACAACATCTACACATGCCAATCAACATTGTTGTAAAGTTTCATTAAATTTGTAGCATTTTGAAACTTTGGACATTTTTGCTGTTTACATGGTAACGGTGGCCATTTCCAAAATTCTAAAAGCAGACATCTCATTGGCACATGCCATGTTACATATCCATACAATTTCATTGAGTTGGTGCAATATTCCTTAAGAAAATACAGATTTCATGGCCAATGTTAAACTTTCGCCCTGTTTCCATGACAACAGCGGCCATTTTGGAATATCTAAATATTGTCTGCACATCTTGGCATACTGAGTAACATTTCCATAAAGTTTCATCCAGTAATGTCTTATAACGAATGATTTAGAATTTTTGACATTTTTACTGTTTCCATGGTAACGGCAGCCATTTTGAAAATTCCAAAGCCAAACTGCAAATCAGCACATGCAAGTTACCATTTCTGTAAAGTTTTTTCAGTTTGGAAAACTGATTTTTTTCGCATTTTTGCTGTTTCCATGGAAACGGCGACCATCTTTTACCATTCCATAGCAAGGTGCACAACTTCACATGGGGGTCCTCATTATAGTTGAGTTCCATCAACATTGGTCCGTTCAATTCTGAGAACTAGCGCGGACAAAAAGTGTGGAAGAAACTTAATAAAAACTAGATTTGCCATTGCAAGCAATAGCGGATGTCACCTTCCCCCATTGCCACTAGATTGCAGCCAGTTTTAAAATTTTAAACAGTGAATGCACATATATTCTGATGGCTATACATCTTTCTGTAATTTTTTAGAACATTTAGCGGATTTACAAATTTTGCGCATAATTTTTCCTTTTTTTCCTTGTTTCCATGGTAACGGCAGCCATTTTGGAAATTCCAACGCCAATTGCCGCTTCCACACATGACAGTCAACGTTATGGTGAAGTTTCATTAAGTTTGAAGCATTCTGAAAATTTTTAAATTTTTGCTCCTGTATCCATGGTAACATAGTAGTTCCAATGATTGTCAAAATCATTCAAAACCTGAATATAATGGACAACTATATTGTATAAAAATTTGATGATTTTTAGTTATAGCATACCGAAATTATTCACAAAACCCTGAAGTTTTTGTATCATTTTTACCTTTTTGCATTGTTTCCATGATAACAACAGCCATTTTGGAAATTCCAACTCCAAATGCCACATCTTCCAATATTGCTCATCGTTACTGTGAAGTTTCATTAAGTTTGGAACATTTTGATATTTTTAAAATTTTTGGTGTAGTTTCCATGGCAACATAGTAGTTCCAATGGTTGCCAAAATCATCCAACACCAGTATATACTTGGCACCTACATTGTATTAAAATATAATGTGTGGAAGAAAAATAATAATAACTAGATTTGTAATTGCTAGCAATAACGGATGGCACCCTTCCCCCATTGCCAGGGTAACTGCAGCCATTTTGAAAATTCCTCAGTCAAAGAGTGCATCTACACTTGCAAATTAACATTTATTTAAAGTTTCATAAATTTTGGAGCTTTTTGAAATTTTTGACATTTTTGCAGTTTCCATGGTAACAGCGGCCATTTTGAGAATTCCGAATTAAAAATCCGAAGTCAAACTGTAAATCAGCACATGCCAGTCACCATTCCTGTGAAGTTTCTTCCACTTTGGAACACTTTGATTTTTTTCGCATTTTTGCTGTTTCCATGGTAACAATGGCCATCTTGACCATTCCAAAGTCAGAGGGACAACTTCGCATGGTGGTCAACATTATACCATAGTTCCATTAACTTTGGTCCATTCTATTCTGAGAACTGCTCCGGACAAAAATAGTGGAAGAAAAATAATAATAAAAAAAAGAAACGTAGAATAACAATATGTCACTCCAACTCCGTTGAGGGTGCCATAATAATAATAAGAAAAAAAAGAAACGTAGAATAACAATATGTCACCCAACTCCGTTGAGGGTGCCATAATAAGAAAAAAAAAGAAACGTAGAATAACAATATGTCACCCCAACTCCGTTGAGGGTGCCATAATAAAAAAAAAGAAACGGAGGAAAAGCAATATGTCACCCGACATTGTCGTTCGGGTGACATAAAAATAAAAAGAAACGTAGAATAACAATACGTCACCCCAACTCCGTTGAGAGTGCCATAATAAGAAAAAAAGAAACGTAGAATAATAATATGTCACCCCAACTTTGTTGAGGGTGCCATAAAAAAATTAAGAATCGAACAAAAACAAAATGTCACCCTACCTCCGTCAGGGTGACATAAAAATTAAAAAAATTGGTGTTACGGGCAACATGCTTATAATTGAAATGTATTTAAAATATAAGTAAAATACATATTTCAATAAAGAAATTAGATTCACAATATTCGAGCATCTATCGCTGCAACTGCAATAGACGATAGAGTGTATATGTATTACTGTGACTTCAAATAAATTAGACCATAAGGAGAAAGTGACGAGCCGCTTGAGTATACATCTAACAGAAACATAAGTCGTAGAGTATTGAATGAAACCTCAAACAATGTGAACTTTATAGCAAAGCGAGCCTTTAATAGAGACTATTTACAAGAGCTCGCAGCATAATTCGAAGAACACTGTGTTACTTCAAAATACCTCTCTACGCGTGACATGTTGAGAGCTGGCCCATCCCATGTCAAACATAGGTAACTCATGTATACCTACTCTTAAATTATATAAAATTGGGAAAGGAAATGGGGAATGTGTCAACAACCCGACCATAGAGCAGACAACAGCCGAAGGCCACCAATGGGTCTTCAATGCAGCGAGAAACTCCCGCACCCGGAGGCGTCCTTCAGCTGGCCCCTAAACAAATATGTATACTAGTTCAGGTAATAATTTTGTGACAAGTAAAGAATGGGTAATCCATTATTACATTGCCCAAACGAAAATAGTTACACATGCTGCCCTTGTAACGCATTGAGTATCCCCAAATTATTCCGAGATAGTGATTGTGCCAAATTGGTTATGTGTACTGTAACAAACCTTTATTGTTAAAATTATTAGAGCTTAGTGATCAGAAATAAAAATGGAAATTTATTATAAAAGAAAATACTTAACATAGTACTTAATTCTAAATAGCCATCTACTAACTTATTAAAGAAATAATAAAAATAACAGATCTGTCTGAATCTTATGAATAATAATTTTTAACATTTTCAACAGATTTTGATGCATGTTAACTTCCAATTTCTAATATAACGGGAGTATCCGTCAGATGTCCTACGCACCCCCTTTGTTTGAATCATGTGATCTTGGTTACCATTAGAACTGTATCTTGAATTAAATATGAATAGTGCTCTGTGTAAAGCTTAATGCTACTGCAACCAATAAGTCACATATTTATACAACTGATCTTATAGACAAATATGATAATAATTTGTTTTTTTTTATTAAAAGATTAATAATTACTCTGTGACAAAAACAAA